CATCCTCTTGGTGATCCCCTTGAGAAATTCACTAATGAAAGAATAAGTTACAACTTTGGTTTACAAAGAAACCCCCTTAGAACTCTATTATCTCCCAAGCTCTCTTTTCTCTCTCACCCCCTTGCTCAACACTTTGATGCACTTGTGAATACTCTCTCAACCCTTGGTGTTTCCCCCTTTGTGTCTAGACTCTCAAGACCCAACTCAGCTCCTAACTTGAACTGATTGCCCTCTCTCTCTTCCTCCCTTGGTAAGTTAAACCTCTCTTGGACACACTAGCTCCCAGCTACTTGTCCACTCCTTGAGAAGTAAAACCACACTTGCAAACACGTTAATTTGGGTAATCTTGAGTGGTTTCTTTCCGTACAGATTTTACTAGAGCTAATTTTTTGGTTTTATGAAAAGATTGTGCATATATAAAATACTTAGCCAGGCTTGGTTTCTAATGCCGAATTCCCAACACCCTTTCTCATTTGGGTAAGTTTCACTACAATATATGGAATAAACACTATTTTCAAAACTACACGGAATAAACACATTGTTGTAAATTAAGAGAGAAACAACAAAATTGCCACCCATGTGTCTTGCATAAGATGCTGATCCGGAGTAGAAAGCCTGCTGAAAAACTTCACCATTGAAAAGCAAATGTAAGTTCTATGACATTTTCTATATGAAAATAAACTTCAACCAACTTAACCTTTCTTTCAAAATCCACTGGGTAAACCTAGCAAAAGTCCAGGTACAGCTACAAAGGCATTTAAAAAACCTCCCATCCCCCTTTTGCCAAGGAAAGCCTTTAAAGCAGGAAAACATTTAAGGAAACAGTTATGAATATACAAAATTGGACTGCATTCTCTTGATTAAGAGCTAATTATGACTTACCATTGCCTATATGGCAGCCTGATTAGTATGGTTCACACACCCCAACCCACACGAAACCATTTCCATAGCTAAGCGATTTTCAAGTTCTATACAGTTTACAAATACTGTAGGGACACGAACAATCAAGACTGAGGTAGCACATGCTTTTAGTTTTAATCATGATGCACAAAGAATTGAATTTGTGAAATGTGAACTTAAGAAGATAAACATGTTGACTTTGATTTGTCCCCCACAATACACAAGTAATATCCCTCCGCATTCTAAGCCACTGACACTAAATGCCATGTTCTTCCCCTTTCATGCAACCAGTGGCAACTCTTGGCATAAACTTTCAGATATACAGGTCACCAAGACATGATTAATTTCATGTTTTCCCAAATGACAAAGGCATGTAGATCCAATAACAAAATAATTGATATACCAATCATCAAACTAAAAGAGCCAAGAGGTCATCCAAAAACTATATTAGGGAATAAACTTCTTCGTTTCATCAAACATTCTCTTAAACTCCATTAACATGTGAACAAAATTGATATTGGGTAATCCAATATTGAACCAGGGAACTTCAAAAAAGGGCAGAATTAAGGGTCTCTAAAAGTAAATTCAAGTAAGATAGCTTAAAGTGAAGCACATATACCATCACCAAATTTTAATTGTTTATAGGGAGCAACGTTCCTCTTCACAGTACTTCAGTGCTAAGTCGTAACCCCTAGCTTCTTTTATCTCTATTTCCATTCAACCAAGAAGATGACTTTCAAGAAGGTCATTTTCGAAACGTCCAACTTAACTGAAATTGAAACTCAACTTCATTGAATTAAAATGCTAAAGATTGAACCATAGGATTGAAGTTTCCACAAAACCCAATTAGCGACGACACAACACAAGTGGAGGCTGGAGCCCAAGTTTAAAATATATCAAAAACATACTGAAACTCTATTAAAATGTGAACAAAATTAATAATGGTACTCCAATGTTTAACTAGGGAACTTCCAAAAAGGGAAAAATTAAAGGTCTCTAAAACAAAACTAAATTCATGAAGGATAGCTTAAAGTGCAGCACAAATACTATCACCCAAAAAAAAATCTGTTCAAAGGGATCAACTTTCCTCTCCACAGTAGTATTTCAGTGCTAATTTATAACCCCTACCTTCTTGTATCCTAATATTGGTTCAGACACAGATGAAATTCCTCCATTAACTTATCATCTAATTAGCTAAATAGATGGTGACTTTAGCAATGAGACATATAAATAATTTCCAGAACGTCCAATTTTAATTGAAATTGATATTCAACTTCATTGAATTAAGAAGCGAACTATTCAAAATGAGATTTTACCTGAGAGATTAACCGCTGAAACTCGCAGACCAGAAACCCTCGAACAGGATGCTCGCAAACCCTTCCAAGTTCTGGAGAGGAATTGATCAAAAGAATATATATAAAAACTAATAAAAAGTGAAAACGTTTATTTTTGAATGGGAAAAGAATATGTGACAGACAAATTGGATTTTCTTTGTTTGGGCCCAAATATCTAGTTGGACTCAGTAAGGAGCCCATTATTTTTTTAGATTATTATAAATAAACCCAATTCTAGGCATGTATTTATAAAAAAACCCACACACTATTTAAATATAGAAACACACCCAAAATCAATTCTAAAATAAACAATTATGTATTTTTTGGGTGTGTTTATAAATGGGTTTTGATTGTGTGTAATGATGGGTTTTGGGTGTGTTTATAAAGTGTTTTGGGTGTTGGGTTTTTTTATAATTTCAGCCTCCATTTTGGGTGTTTTAGTGAAACCCCCTTATTTTTTTGGTTTTGGACTTTGGGCCCAGCTTTTTGAAATACAGACTCTCTCTCTCTTTGTATATATTTTGGCACTTTTTAATACAGACCCAATTCTGGATAAGAATGTTGGGTATAACCCACGTATTTGAATTGATGAATCCCGGTTCAATTTGCATTTATTACTTATTTTTTATGACTATTTTGCCCTTGAATGTAAATAATGGAAGTAAATTAAAAGTCTTTGATTTAAAGCATTGTCACTCTTTGAATTTGAATTTTAAACATTTGCAGCCAAAAAATACTTCTTTAGTGACTAAAGTCTTTAGTCACCCCAGCAAATGTCATCAAATAATAATGATTGTTGCTACTATTTTTTGTAGTGTGTGTTGCGATGCCAATGTCACACACTTTTCCCAACAATGTGTTAAGTTGTAACAACATATACAAGGGAGGCAGTACTAAAATGGGCTGTTAAGGATCTCTTGGTTCTTAGATTTTGTGATGTCCAACTATGCTCAATCAAATTAATTAATCTGATCCAACGATTAAGATATAGGGCCTCACCTAAGCATCATAGATAAGACCCTCACTATAGAATGACTCTTGTTGGCAAACACACATATATATGCCACCAAAGCCACGCCACACATATGGCTCAAATTTTTTGTTTTTAATTATGTTTTTTTTGTCTTTGTTTTGGCTTCAGAGTCGTTGGTAGGGTTTGATTTGAAGAAGGGTTAGAGAAATGACATTTTTTTTTGGTCGAAAAGTCACCATTCCGACTTAATCAAGTCCACGATTTCTAACTGTCTAGAAATCTTGGTCCACCTCTTGATTATTGCATGGACTTGATCAATTATTTGTTTAATGACTAGGTCATTACACGGTACCAGCAATCAAGTAAGAAAAAGACCCATGAAGGAAAAATATTATTTATTTATTTGACCGAATATTTACCAAATCCGTACACTACACACCAGGAAGACATTTTTTTTATTTATTAATTCCCTCTATAAAACATTAAACCAATTTTTTAGTACAAGGAAAAATCAAGTGGTGCAAGCCATGGCCTTACTTGGGAGCAAGCTTATAATTGTGCAACTCTCTATGGTTGTGCTATTAGGGGCGGCAATATTTACATCAATAGCAGCAGCAGCTCAAGCCCTGCTGCCTCAAGCCAAGCCTGGGTGCCCAGAGAAATGCGGTAATCTCACAATCCCCTACCCATTTGGCATAGGTGACGGCTGTTACCTCCGACCCGAATTCAACATCACATGCAACCAAGCCAGTACACACCCAACATACTTGACCAGAAACAACGTGAGCATTACTAACTTCAACTTTGATGAGGCTGAGCTGCAAATAGCACATGCTGCAGCCCATAGCTGTCATGACGCCCGTGGTAATATAATACCCAGCAACAGCGGCAGGGACAGCGTATATTACCTGGCGCTGCCTCCTCTTTACACCATCTCCGAAACCAAGAACAAATTGTTTGTCATTGGCTGTGAAGCTTTTGCATTTTTGGATTTTGGGTTCGCAGACCCTACCCCAGATGGAACAAATTCCAACCGTGGCTACAGTGTGGCGGCATGCGACAATTTAACCAGCAACAATAAAGTTCCCGACACTTGCTCCGGCATTGCGTGCACCGAATCTGGCCTCGATGATGGATTGATAACGTTTGAGATAATACTGAGTTACTTGAATAGGTTTGGGGAGCAGAACAGGAATGAAACGAAATGGTTCTACGAGGAGTACCCGTGCAGCTACGCCTTCCTTGTGGAAGACTCCAAGTTTACTTATGCTCCCAATACAAGTTTTCAACAGCTCAGCAACAACAAGCAGCTTCCGGTGGTCATCAACTGGGAAGTTGGGGATGAGCCGTGTGATGTAGTTGAAAAGAGCAATAATTCTTCTTGCAAGGGAAATAGCAAATGTGTGGACCGGTCCATTGTCCGTGGTAAGCCTGGTTATATTTGCAAGTGCTTGGACGGCTACCATGGAAATCCATACCTCACAGATGGTTGCCAAGGTACTGATGATGCTTTCTTTTTTTTTCTTTTTTTAAATCAAATATTTCATACATCAACATCGCCACAACATATGAAACATCATATTGTGAATCTAGACTATTGATCATTAACTTGATTATTACCCAATTTTATTGTTTGACATGAGATTATTTTTCTTTCCGTTTCAGATATTAATGAGTGCGAGACTTTAAGTTCAAACCCCTGCAACAATGGAACTTGCCATAATCTAGATGGAAGTTACTACTGTAAATGTAATAGTGGGTACAGAAACCACGGCCCCAAGACTTGCATACCCGGAACAAAGAACACTACCCTCAAAATTTCATTGGGTATGCTGGTTAATTTCATATTGCTATAGCTGCTATTTACATATAATATGTATTGTAATTAACAGGCATACATGTTATACACTTGTTCATAAATAGGTCAACACGTTTGTCTAAGAAAATGACAATAAGCTGCTTTTATTTGACCAGTAATAATATAATGAAAAATAATAAAAAATTGAATAATCAAACTGTGATAATAGTCCCACCATTTCATAAGAAGACTTATGAAATTTTCATTGTGATATGACATATCACTTTGACTAAAACATTAATTTGTCCTAAAAAGAAAGCTCTCGCTAGATAACATACTCTTAAATCAAATGAGGTAGTTGTAATGTTATTTAATTATCTGCAGGCGCCAGTGGAGGCTTCTTGCTTTTACTGGTTGGAAGTTTATGGATATATTGGGGTATGCAGAAACGAAAGTTCATCAAACTCAAGGAGAAATACTTTAAAGAAAATGGTGGCTTATTGTTAAAACAACAACTCGCTAGCCAAGGAGGCTCTATGGAAACAACAAAACTCTTTACAGCAGAAGAACTTGAGAAGGCCACGAACACTTACCACGAAAGTAGAATCCTTGGAGAAGGAGGCTATGGAACGGTTTACAAAGGAATATTACCAGATAACAGCGTGGTTGCCATAAAGAAGTCAAAGGTTAATGGTGCGCCCGCTCAGAGTGATGTTTTTATTAATGAGGTGATTGTTCTTTCTCAAATCAAGCACAGAAATGTGGTGAGGTTATTAGGTTGTTGTTTAGAGACACCGGCGCCATTACTGGTTTACGAGTTCATCGTTGAGGGCACTCTTTCTGAGCACATCCATAAAAAAAATGGCAAAAGATCATCACTTTCGTGGGAGCTGCGATTGAATATAGCGACAGAAACAGCAGGAGCACTAGCATACTTACACTCCTCTGCTCTCATGCAAATTATCCACCGAGATGTGAAAGCAACAAACATACTATTAGATGAACATTACACGGCAAAAGTGTCCGACTTTGGAGCTTCAAGATTGATCCCTCTAGATCAAACTCAACTAACAACGTTAGTGCAAGGAACAATTGGATACTTAGACCCCGAATACTTCCTTACGAATCAACTGACGGAAAAGAGTGACGTCTATAGCTTCGGAGTTGTCCTTATGGAGCTAATGACAAGCAAAGTGGCACTTTCTTTGGCCAGGCCCGAGGAAGACATAAACCTAGCCAACTTCTTTGTTCGTTTCATGGAGGAAGATCGCTTGAATGAGGTTCTTGATGATGACATAGTCAACGAGAGAAACGTTGAGACACTAAAAAAGGTGGCAGAAGTCGCAAAAAGATGTGTAAGGTTAAAAGGGCAGGACAGGCCTAGCATGAAAGAAGTAGCAATGGAGCTAGAGGGAATGAGAGTTACACCAAAGCAACCATGGGGAAAATCTGAAGTTTCAAGTCCAGAAGACACTGAGTACTTACTTGGTTCAGCTATGAATTTAGACGCTTATTTTGTGGATGTTAGAGGTGATTTTGATTCTAGAGGTGCAACTATTGGTACAACCATTGGATACGATAGCATGCAAATCCAAATGGTAATGCCGTACGATGGACTATAGTTGACTGACTTAATGTCGCTAGCGTCTAATGATCATGTAGTTTAAGGAATCTTGCTTGGCAGATGCCAGTGGAATCGGGCGATAATCGATTGCTAGGGTCTAGTTGTGATGTATTCTAGAAATAAACCAATATGTTGTTCTTTGTTGGTCTTATTGGTTTGTATGGATATGTTATGAATTCAAGTGAATTCAACATCACTTGAGAAATTAGGATCAATAGTTTTTAATGTTTGGTCAAAGTTGGCCCAGTAATTCATTTTAATCATGGGATTGTGGTTAATTTTTCAAATAATATAATGAAATCACCCCCGACTTAATCAGAATTTTGAGGTTCCTCTGTTTTGTTTGATGTTTTTTTTTTGAAGACCAAAACAAAAATTACCCCCGACTTAATCAAATCTACAATTTCTTATATTTCTAGAAACCAGTGAATTGGAGGTTTACCGGTCAAAACCTTTTCCTTCTTGTTTAAAAATATCTGATACAAAAAATAATAATAAACATGATTTGATTAATATCAAGTAAACAAACAAATAAATTCACTTCTTTCTATTAAAGTATTTTATTTCTCCCCAAGTTAACTAGCTAGGTCTCCATCGGCAATCTTTCGTGCCATATTTCTCCCCAAGTTAACTAGCTAGGTCTCCATTGACTTCGTCCCCACCGTCGCTTGTTGACTATTTACCAAGTCGGATGTTTTATTGCATTTCTTTATACTAATTCCTGAAAATAACAGGGGATGAGGCCTACTTGGGGTGAAAAAGAAAAACATTAACAGAGACAAATGGCAGTTAATTAGGATTAGGAAGACAATTTTCCCTAACCCAATATGCCAGTACGCGTCTTAATTTCCTTCCACATAAAAGACCAGGGTTGTTTGCTGTTTTCTTCACACTCAAAAGCCATCCCAAAACATAAACACAATTTGTAGCATATATGAGGATGCTACTTATTTTGCAACTCTCTTTGGTAGTGGCGGATTTGGTTGTGATATTATTATTAGCAACTCCAATTCCAACAGCAGCTCAAGCCCTCCCTGGCTGCCAAGACCATTGTGGCAATCTCCCAATCCCATATCCCTTTGGCATAGGCCCTGGCTGCTACCTCCAACCCCAATTCAACATCACTTGCAACCAATCCTCCCAGCCCCCAAAAGCGCAGTTGTTGACAAGCAATATCATAATCACCAACTTTTCCATTGAGGAGGGTGAGCTCCAAATACTTCAGTACGTTGCCGAAGACTGTTACGACGCTCAGGGCAACCCGACGGGCCGCAACGTCCCCAGGCTGTGGGTGCCTCCTCCCTACACCATCTCCCATACCAAGAACAAGTTCTACGCCCTTGGCTGCGACCCTTACGCGTTTTTCAGCGGCTACCGAGGCGACCAGAAGTTCACGACGGGGTGCATGTCCATATGTGATAGTCTAGGCAACGCTGTTGACGGGCAGAACACTTTCTCTGGCGTTGGTTGCTGCCAAACTTCCATCCCTAGCGGGCTAAAGAATCAGACGGTCACGTTGAAAAGCTTTAGAAATCACACGGGTATTTGGGACTTCAACCCCTGCAGCTACTCGTTTATTGTGCAAGATGGCCAGTTCGAATTCAATGGTATAAGTTTTCAACAGCTCAACAACACAAGCTTGCTTCCGGCGGCTCTTAATTGGGAAATTGGGAATCAGTCATGTGATGCAGCTGAGAAGAGGGACGATTTTGCATGCAAGGGAAATAGCATATGTCTTGGGTCTGCAGGTTACATTTGCAAGTGCATGCCAGGTTACAATGGGAATCCATACCACCCAGATGGTTGCCAAGGTATGTGATTCAGTGTTTCCATAACCATCTAAGGTTTTAGAATATCCCATCTGAGAATACTACTTCTGCCAAAAAAGAAGATAAAATGAATTTTTTTTTACCATTTGATGGTTATTAACATGAACACTTTAAGTTAGTGACCATAACATTGTGTTTGTCTTTATATTTGATCATAGTCATGTAGCTAAATACTTTATGATGATTCGGTGATATTTGTATGGATGATCCTAAATGAATTCTTTAACAAATGGATGGCTCGGAGAATTGATCGGATTGAGGATTTATCCCAAGCAATCCCTTTTGATTCTCATTAGAAATAGCATATCTTTTGTTTATTAAGGGCCCTGCATAACATTTCCTTACATATTTTATAAAGTTGTTACTAGCTAGAAAAGCTGAAATTGGGTTTTTACCATTGGTCTTCCTTACTGACTTTCAGATATTCAAACGCCTGCAGTATTGGAACGTGCATAAATTCACCAGGAAATTATTCTTGTAAATGTCCTAAAGGATACAAAAATGACGGCATGAATGAAAAGACTTGCATCAAAGACAACAATCGATCAAAGATTATTCTCCTGCTCGGTATTTCATTGGGTAAGCATTTTAATTTACATGTTAACACGCATCATAGCCTTTTTTTTTTTTTGGTCAAAGAGAATTTCATTAAAACCCAAAGCGGGAAGCCTGAAAACAGCAAGCAGAGAGCTGAAAACAGCAAGCAGAAAGCTGAGACTGCAGACACTATCCAAACACAGCTTAGTGTATGAAGCAGTTCCAGCAAGGATAAAATTACATTACAGGGGGCAAGGAAGCCCATCAGAAACTAAAACACGAACGAGGGACGGTGGTGGCTGGTTAAGCCAGGTTACCCTATGCACCGTTCCAACTCCAATCATAGCCATTTTAATATCAAATTTTCATTGTGACACTCATATTTGTTCGTAATATATCACTTTGACGAAAACCTTTATCCTAAAAAAGAAATTTTATTTAATCGGCAGGTGCCAGTGGAGGCTTCTTGCTTTTAGTGGTTGGAAGTTTATGTTGGAAAAAATGGCTCACCTAAAGGATACAAAGGTTTTGGCGCTCAAAGGGAGTATTTGAAACTGCCTAAAAGCGACCGGTCGCTGGGAAGTTGCGACCGGTCGTTTTCTGGCAGATTCGAGGTCTGGAGCTAAACCAAGGAGCGACCGGTCGCCAGTTCTTTGCGACCGGTCGCATGAAGCACGAGCGACCGGTCGCCAAGAAGCAGATTCAAAGTCTGGAGGGAAAATTTCTGGCGACCGGTCGCCCATTCCTGACGACCGATCGCTCCAGTCGTGCTGTGACGTTTCCTTACGTGTTTTCAACTGTGTTTTCGATGGCTATCGCTTTCCACATGATTTCAGAAGCTTTGTGGGTCACTTCTGAGTTAAATGAATGTTGACTACGTGCTGGATAAGTTGGGAGAGCACTCATGGCTAATTGGTTATCTTGTTTTGAATAATCTCCTCTCCATTTTCTGGTTTAATGGAGGTGGCTAAGTGAGATTATTTTACCTACCTGATCTGACCCTTAGTCTAAGTGGTGACTAAAAGGAAAGAACGTGGAGGACAATCAGATATCCTATCTCTTGTCCATTGGCTTGTGTAGGTAATGGGATGAAGTAAGATAACACAAGAGGAGAAAACAAGTTGGATAATTAGGAAGTGGCTGAAGTAGAAGTTGGAGTTTTTCTGTAGAGAGTTTCAGACAAGCCAAGGGGAGAGCAAGAGAGTTCTCTAAGTGTATCAAGGTGTTGAGCAAGGGTGTGAGAGAAACAGATTGTGAGGGTAGTGTTCTAAGGGGGTTTCCTTTGTAAACCAAAGTTGTAACCTATCTTCATTAGTGAAATTTCTCAAGGTGATCACCAAAGAAGATGTAGGCAATTTGCTGAACCTCTATAGACACTTGTGTCATTTGTGCTTGGTTAATTTTCTGTGTGTGTGTGTAAGACTCATCCATCATTGAGTTCTTTGTCTAAAGTCCATCAACAACAAGATCTTTAAGGGCAGTGAGTTAGTCATTAATTCACAACAGTTTATGGATATATTGGGGTATGCAGAAAAGAAAGTTCATCAAACTCAAGGAGAAATACTTTAAAGAAAATGGTGGCTTATTGCTAAAACAACAACTCGCTAGCCAAGGACGCTATATGGAAACAACAAAACTCTTTACAGCAGAAGAACTTGAGAAGGCCACGAACAATTACCACGAAAGTAGAATCCTTGGTGAAGGAGGCTATGGAACGGTTTACAAAGGAATATTACCAGATAACAGCGTGGTTGCCATAAAGAAGATCAAAGGTTAATGGTGCGCCAGCTCAGAGTGACGTTTTTATTAATGAGGTGATTGTTCTTTCTCAAATCAAGCACAGAAATGTGGTGAGGTTATTAGGTTGTTGTTTAGAGACACCGGCCCCATTACTGGTTTACGAGTTCATCGTTGAGGGCACTCTTTCTGAGCACATCCATAAAAAAAATGCCAAAAGATCATCACTTTCGTGGGAGCTGCGATTGAATATAGCGACAGAAACAGCAGGAGCCCTAGCATACTTACACTCCTCTGCTCTCATGCAAATTATCCACCGAGATGTGAAAGCAACAAACATACTATTAGATGAAAATTACACGGCAAAAGTGTCCGACTTTGGAGCTTCAAGATTGATCCCTCTAGATCAAACTCAACTAACAACGTTAGTGCAAGGAACGCCTGGATACTTAGACCCCGAATACTTCCTTACGAATCAACTGACGGAAAAGAGTGACGTCTATAGCTTCGGAGTTGTCCTTATGGAGCTATTGACAAGCAAAGTGGCACTTTCTTTCACCAGGACCGAGGAAGACATAAACCTAGCCAACTTCTTTGTTCGTTTCATGGAGGAAGATCGCTTGAATGAGGTTCTTGATGATGACATAGTCAACGAGAGAAACGTTGAGACACTAAAAAAGGTGGCAGAAGTAGCAAAAAGATGCGTAAGGTTAAAAGGGCAGGATAGGCCTAGCATGAAAGAAGTGGCAATGGAGCTAGAGGGAATGAGAGTTACACCAAAGCAACCATGGGTAAAATCTGAAGTTTCAAGTACAGAATGAAGAGCATCCTACCCATCAGCCAATGAATATGCAAGGCACTCCCCACAAGTCACGGCAGTCTGTAGCCGTTCAAGTGTGATTGCTTCATTATCTCAATCAATCCCTATAATCTTGGAACTGCCTATTTTATGTTTTACCGTTTGTATAATTTACTTTGTTTATACTCATGTACAAAGTCAACTGTATAGCATATAACAGAAATCCAATACAACCAGAATACTCATCGTGGGGTGTTCTTTCTATTCTACTTCTTATTCTTCTCTAAACCCTAGTTATTTCTCTACATGAGCCTCGCAGAGGCTAGCAACCCCTTTTCGATCCTAATGACAAACTCTTCCTCTCCTATAAACTCTTCTTCTGTCTCTCAGACTACTTTTCAAAATACCATGACCACCACACCATCTTCTATTCCAACTTCTTTCAATATCGCTCACTTGTTTACAACACCAATGGATCGTAATAATTTTCTCTGTTGGAAATCTCAGTTTGAAGATGTACTAGAATTACATGATCTGGAAGATGTGATTAAGACAGAAACCCATCCCCAGAAGAAAATTCCCGATGGTTCTCTCAATCCAGCCTATTCAAAAGACAAACTAGTCTTAAGTTGGATCAAGGCCACGGCTTCATCTTCTATTAAGACCCTTCTGATTCCATGTTCTACAGCATATGAGGCATGGACGCTGCTTGAGAAACGACTGTCACCCCTGTCCAAAACTTATATTCGTACCCTGCGAGATCAGATACGCACCCTCAAAAAGGATCCAGAAAAGTCAGTTGCTGATTATTTGATCCACGCCAAGTCTCTCTTTGATTCTGTCACTGCGGCTGGCACCTTAATTTCTGATGGCGAACTTATTGATTATATACTCGATGGCCTAGGCCATGAATACAAAGAATTTACTACCTCCCTTCATCTTCGACCCTCTCTAACCTTTGATGAATTTTATGATTTGTTAATACAGGAAGAACAGTTGCTGAAGAGGATGTCTTCCCTCTCCTTATCACAAAGTGTAGCACTCACCTCTGATCGCAGTACCAATGATCAGGCCACTCAGAACCGAGCCCAAAGCACCATTCTCAAACCCGGTCTCAAAACTTTGGAAGAGGACGAGGTCGAGGTCGCGGTTGGCATAATGGAAGAAATTCAGGTCGTTCTCCTAACTGGAATTCCAACTACCATAATGGCGGGACCTTCACTCGCGACAACGGCTGGCAAAATAGTCGTGATCACCGTCGTCCTCAATTTCTAACAGATACTAGATCATCAATGCCTTCACATGATGGACGTCCACCACTGCTCCCAACACCACCATATCAACCTCCTTTTCAGTTTCAAGAAACCTGTCAGATGTGCAACCGGCAAGGCCACACTTCACGTGTATGTCCTGATCGTGGTAATTACGCCTACATGGCAGAGTCCAACACCTCCAATATCCCTTCACCATCTGTTCCTACTAACACAAGTTGGTGTGTTGACTCCGGGGCAACCCATCATATGGTGTCCAGTCCTTCTCAACTCCCCTTTGTGAAGCCATATACAGGTAATGATTCCATTATTGTAGGTAATGGCACTCGTCTCTCAATAAGTCATATTGGTCAAACTAATATTGGTCCTTTGAAACTTACTAATGTTCTATGTGTTCCCGCTATCCGAAAGAATCTATTGTCTATACACCGTTTTTCTAAGGATAATAATTGCTATTTTGAGATGCATGCTAATGGTTTTCATGTAAAGGACAATATGACGGGGAGGACATTACTCACTGGCAGTAGCTCTGGCGACTTGTACCATATTCAAGCAGATCCTACAATCTCAGGGGACCTAGTCTTTTATGGTGAAAGGACTACCCAAGATATTTGGCATACAAGACTTGGCCATCTGTCTCATGATGTTTTTCGTATTTTACTTAATAAATTTCACTTGCCTGTTAGTGGTAAGGTTGATTCTAATAAGGCTTGTCATATTTGCCCTTTGGGAAAATCATGTAGACTTCCCTTTTCCAATCGTACTTTTTATGCTCATGAACCCCTTGCAGTACTTCATCTAGATTTATGGGGACCAGCCCCAGTCTCCTCAAATTTTGGTTATCGTTATTATTTATCTATTGTTGATGAATACACTCGATTTGTGTGGTTTTATCCTTTAGCAAAGAAATCCGATGTGCTTACAACGTTTGTCTTCTTTAAAAGATTGGTGGAAAAACAACACAACCATTCTATTAAAACCATACAAATTGATGGTGGTGGGGAATTCACTAATCGTTTATTCCTTAATTTTCTTCATGAACACGGCATCACACATCACATTTCATGCCCTTACAAACCAGAGCAAAACAGAATTGTTGAGTGTAAGCATAGACATATTGTTGAAATGGGACTTTGCCTGTTGTCCCAATCACACTTACCTTCGAGTTTTTGGCTCGAAGCTTTTTCCACTGCTGTCTTTCTTATCAACAGGTTACCAACTACACAACTTGGTCAAGTTTCACCCTATGAGAAGTTGTTCCAACGCCCACCTGACTACCGGTTTCTCAAGTCTTTTGGTTGTACATGTTTTCCACACTTAGTGCCATACAACAAGCATAAACTTTCCTCCAAGTCTATTAAGTGTATTTTTCTCGGGTATGACAATCACTACAAGGGGTACAAGTGCTTTGAACCAATCTCTAGGCGAGTGTATATTTCAAGGAATGTTACTTTTGATGAATCTGATTTTTCTTACACTAATATTCTATCCAAGTCCTCTCATGATTCCAGGTCAATACCTCTTGCACCCACGTTATTGGAGCCTCCTCATGTTCCTTTATCTCCAGCTCCCCCAACTACTCCACCTCCTTCTAACCTTGCTACGGACAACCAGCTCTCACCACCAGCAACACCTCTTCCGCTCTCTACTCTGTCTTCATCTCCATCCGACCATCCTCTTCATCAATCTGCAAGCACTTCCCCTCCTTCAATAGAAATCGAGTCATCTCCGACAACTCCAGCCACTACACCACCACCACGTGGGTTCCGCAGCCTTCATAATCTTGTCTACAACTCCACACGCCATCCTCTTCCCCATGCCTTAACTGCAACTCTTACGGATCCTCTCTCAATTGAGCCTACAAGTTATACTCAAGCCTCTAAATTCCCTCACTGGCAGGCAGCGATGCACGAAGAATATACAGCCCTTATGAAGAACCAAACTTGGTCCCTCGTTCCTCCTACACCAACCATGAACGTCGTGGGCTGTAAATGGGTTTTCAAAGTCAAGCGAAAAGCCGATGGCACTATTGAAAGACACAAGGCACGCTTAGTTGCCAAGGGCTTTAATCAAATGGAGGGCCTTGACTATGATGAAACATTTAGTCCTGTTGTCAAGCCAGCTACTATTCGCACTATCTTAACTATTGCTCTTTCCAGGAATTGGCCCTTGCAACAACTTGATGTTCGTAATGCCTTTCTGAATGGCATCTTACAGGAGGAGGTTTATATGAAGCAGCCCCCAGGTTTTGCTGACCCTCTTCGCTCCAAATATGTCTGCAAACTCCACAAGGCACTCTATGGCCTTAAACAGGCCCCCCGTGCATGGTTTCATCGACTTCATTCTTTTTTAATTCATCAAGGATTCTTCCATAGTCAATCTGATGCTTCACTTTTTATTCGTCATACAACCTCTCATACTCTTTATGTCCTTGTGTATGTTGATGACTTAATTGTAACAGGTAGTACTCTTCCTGCAGTTAACAAATTCATTGATGATTTATGTTCAACCTTTGATAGTCGCAGGCTGGGCGAGCTCAATTTTTTTCTTGGCATGGAAGTTTGTCGCACCAATGGCTCTCTATCAATCTCTCAAGCTCGCTATGCATCTGACCTTCTCACCAAATTTAATATGGCAGCATGTAAACCAAGTCCCACACCACTGCTCTCCTCCACCAGACTCTCTGCAAATGATGGTGATCCGATCTCTGACCCCACACTGTATCGTAGCATGGTTGGGGGCCTCCAGTACCTCACTCTATCTCGTCCCGATATCGCTTTTGCCGTGAATCAAGTGTGCCAATTCATGCATCATCCATGTTCCACTCACCTCCAAGCTGTTAAAAGGATCTATCGCTACATTAAGGGCACTCTTGAGCATGGCCTTCTCTTTCGTGCTTCTGCTGACCTCACTTTGCGAGCCTTCTCCGACTCTGATTGGGCCGGCTCCATTGATGACCGCCGCTCTACTACAGGGGCATGTGTTTTCCTTGGTCCTAATCTCCTCACTTGGACCGCTAAGAAACAATCTACCGTATCCCGCTCAAGCTCTGAAGCCGAGTATCGCGCACTTGCTACCACTGCAGCTGAGCTTCGTTGGTTTGGCTACTTGTTTCGTGAGTTGGGTATTCCTCTACGTTCGCCTCCATGTATCTTCGTCGACAACATATCTGCTCTCCACATGGCAGCGAATCCTGTCTTCCATGCTCGTACCCGCCATATTGAAATCGACTATCATTTTGTTCGCGAGTTAATTTCCCAAGGTGTTCTTCATCATGAACACGGCATCACACATCACATTTCATGCCCTTACAAACCAGAGCAAAACAGAATTGTTGAGTGTAAGCATAGACATATTGTTGAAATGGGACTTTGCCTGTTGTCCCAATCACACTTACCTTCGAGTTTTTGGCTCGAAGCTTTTTCCACTGCTGTCTTTCTTATCAACAGGTTACCAACTACACAACTTGGTCAAGTTTCACCCTATGAGAAGTTGTTCCAACGCCCACCTGACTACCGGTTTCTCAAGTCTTTTGGTTGTACATGTTTTCCACACTTAGTGCCATACAACAAGCATAAACTTTCCTCCAAGTCTATTAAGTGTATTTTTCTCGGGTATGACAATCACTACAAGGGGTACAAGTGCTTTGAACCAATCTCTAGGCGAGTGTATATTTCAAGGAATGTTACTTTTGATGAATCTGATTTTTCTTACACTAATATTCTATCCAAGTCCTCTCATGATTCCAGGTCAATACCTCTTGCACCCACGTTATTGGAGCCTCCTCATGTTCCTTTATCTCCAGCTCCCCCAACTACTCCACCTCCTTCTAACCTTGCTACGAACAACCAGCTCTCACCACCAACAACACCTCTTCCGCTCTCTACTCTGTCTTCATCTCCATCCGACCATCCTCTTCATCAATCTGCAAGCACTTCCCCTCCTTCAATAGAAATCGAGTCATCTCCGACAACTCCAGCCACTACACCACCACCACGTGGGTTCCGCAGCCTTCATAATCTTGTCTACAACTCCACACGCCATCCTCTTCCCCATGCCTTAACTGCAACTCTTATGGATCCTCTCTCAATTGAGCCTACAAGTTATACTCAAGCCTCTAAATTCCCTCACTGGCAGGCAGCGATGCACGAAGAATATACAGCCCTTATGAAGAACCAAACTTGGTCCCTCGTTCCTCCTACACCAACCATGAACGTCGTGGGCTGTAAATGGGTTTTCAAAGTCAAGCGAAAAGCCGATGGCACTATTGAAAGACACAAGGCACGCTTAGTTGCCAAGGGCTTTAATCAAATGGAGGGCCTTGACTATGATGAAACATTTAGTCCTGTTGTCAAGCCAGCTACTATTCGCACTATCTTAACTATTGCTCTTTCCAGGAATTGGCCCTTGCAACAACTTGATGTTCGTAATGCCTTTCTGAATGGAATCTTACAGGAGGAGGTTTATATGAAGCAGCCCCCAGGTTTTGCTGACCCTTTTCGCTCCAAATATGTCTGCAAACTCCACAAGGCACTCTATGGCCTTAAACAGGCCCCCCGTGCATGGTTTCATCGACTCCATTCTTTTTTAATTCATCAAGGATTCTTCCATAGTCAATCTGATGCTTCACTTTTTATTCGTCATACAACCTCTCATACTCTTTATGTCCTTGTGTATGTTGATGACTTAATTGTAACAGGTAGTACTCTTCCTGCAGTTAACAAATTCATTGATGATTTATGTTCAACCTTTGATAGTCGCAGGCTGGGCGAGCTCAATTTTTTTCTTGGCATGGAAGTTTGTCGCACCAATGGCTCTCTATCAATCTCTCAAGCTCGCTATGCATCTGACCTTCTCACCAAATTTAATATGGCAGCATGTAAACCAAGTCCCACACCACTGCTCTCCTCCACCAGACTCTCTGCAAATGATGGTGATCCGATCTCTGACCCCACACTGTATCGTAGCATGGTTGGGGGCCTCCAGTACCTCACTCTATCTCGTCCCGATATCGCTTTTGCCGTGAATCAAGTGTGCCAATTCATGCATCATCCATGTTCCACTCACCTCCAAGCTGTTAAAAGGATCTATCGCTACATTAAGGGCACTCTTGAGCATGGCCTTCTCTTTCGTGCTTCTGCTGACCTCACTTTGCGAGCCTTCTCCGACTCTGATTGGGCCGGCTCCATTGATGACCGCCGCTCTACTACAGGGGCATGTGTTTTCCTTGGTCCTAATCTCCTCACTTGGACCGCTAAGAAACAATCTACCGTATCCCGCTCAAGCTCTGAAGCCGAGTATCGCGCACTTGCTACCACTGCAGCTGAGCTTCGTTGGTTTGGCTACTTGTTTCGTGAGTTGGGTATTCCTCTACGTTCGCCTCCATGTATCTTCGTCGACAACATATCTGCTCTCCACATGGCAGCGAATCCTGTCTTCCATGCTCGTACCCGCCATATTGAAATCGACTATCATTTTGTTCGCGAGTTAATTTCCCAAGGTGTTCTTCACTTAATTGTAACAGGTAGTACTCTTCCTGCAGTTAACAAATTCATTGATGATTTATGTTCAACCTTTGATAGTCGCAGGCTGGGCGAGCTCAATTTTTTTCTTGGCATGGAAGTTTGTCGCACCAATGGCTCTCTATCAATCTCTCAAGCTCGCTATGCTTCTGACCTTCTCACCAAATTTAATATGGCAGCATGTAAACCAAGTCCAACACCACTGCTCTCCTCCACCAGACTCTCTACAAATGATGGTGATCCGATCTCTGACCCCACATTGTATCGCAGCATGGTTGGGGGCCTCCAGTACCTCACTCTATCTCGTCTCGATATCGCTTTTGCCGTGAATCAAGTGTGCCAATTCATGCATCATCCATGTTCCACTCACCTCCAGGCTGTTAAAAGGATCTATCGCTACATTAAGGGCACTCTTGAGCATGGCCTTCTCTTTCGTGCTTCTGTTGACCTCACTTTGCGAGCCTTCTCCGACTCTGATTGGGCCGGCTCCATTGATGACCGCCGCTCTACTACGGGGGCATGTGTTTTCCTTGGTCCTAATCTCCTCACTTGGACCGCTAAGAAACAATCTACCGTATCCCGCTCAAGCTCTGAAGCCGAGTATCGCGCACTTGCTACCACTGCAGCTGAGCTTCGTTGGTTTGGCTACTTGTTTCGTGAGTTGGGTATTCCTCTACGTTCGCCTCCATGTATCTTCGTCGACAACATATCTGCTCTCCACATGGCAGCGAATCCTGTCTTCCATGCTCGTACCCGCCATATTGAAATCGACTATCATTTTGTTCGCGAGTTAATTTCCCAAGGTGTTCTTCATACGCACTATGTTCCCTCTGCTTCTCAGCTTGCCGATCTCTTCACCAAAAGCTTGTCTCGCGAACGGTTTACTCAACTTGCTACCAAGCTCAACCTCCACTTTGTTCCCTTTCGCTTGAGGGAGCGTGAAGAGCATCCTACCCATCAGCCAATGAATATGCAAGGCACTCCCCACAAGTCACGGCAGTCTGTAGCCATTCAAGTGTGATTGCTTCATTATCTCAATCAATCCCTATAATCTTGGAACTGCCTATTTTATGTTTTACCGTTTGTATAATTTACTCTGTTTATACTCATGTACAAAGTCAACTGTATAGCATATAAAAGAAATCCAATACAACCAGAATACTCATCGTGGGGTGTTCTTTCTATTCTACTTCTTATTCTTCTCTAAACCCTAGTTATTTCTCTACACAGAAGACACTGAGTACTTACTTGGTTCAGCTATGAATTCAGACGCTTATTTTGTGGATGTTAGAGGTGATTTTGGTTCTAGAGGTGCAACTATTGGTACAACCAGTGGGTACGATAGCATGCAAATACAAATGGTAATGCCGTACGATGGACGATAGTTGACTGACTTAATGTCGATAGCATCTAATGATCATGTAGTTTAAGGAATCTAAACCACTAATTAATTTGTTCATTGTCTCTTGTAAATATTTTTTGTGTGTGCATAAATATATACTAGATGTAAATCCTGTTATCTGTTGGTCTCATTGGTTTATTGATTCTTTGAACTCAAGATGTCTTGCACAGAGTATTTACATGTTATATCAGTTGGGAATTTGTCACTTGTCAATTCAAGATGATTTTGCATGCTTTTAATTACAAATGTCTATAGAATGAGTTGGATCTGAATTTTTGGTTGCAAAAATATCTTCTTAAGATTGCATTGCAATTAAGAAACACAAACTTTTGGTAACCTGTATTATTCGTATGAATACACCATTTAGCAGTATTCCGCGAAAAACCCACATTCTTGATTGGACTGTGGACTTCGAACCCAAGTTGGAATAAGATTTACAGATGGAAAAGGTAATCTAATTTTAAACCACGATTTGAGGTCTTTTGCGGCGACTTGCAGCGCTTTATGGACATTTCGTGACGAAATTATGGTGTTATTGTGTAAACATCATTTAGCGGCAATTGTTTTCGCCGCTAGCCATTGCAAAATTATCCTTTAGAAGCGGCTAATCAAAATCGTCGCTAAAGATTCCGAGGATAATTTACACTGCTCTCTTCCTCTGCCTTTACAATGTTTTTCTTTACCCAAAACACATTAATTTGGGTAGTCTTTGTAAACTTTAAAGCTATTATAACTTGAACACTAACCTTGTTTTGCCATTGAAGCCTTTTATCGAACACTTGGGAGATAGCTCTTCTCTAAGATAACCGAATGCCTTTATTCTCTAATTCTAGATTGGGTGAATTGCTTGATGAGATTTTGTGTGTCGGCTCGTAGCGGGAGCTGCTCTATTTATATGCATCACTCAAGGAGTCTTGCCCATCAAGAAACTCCTTGAGGTATCCTTATTGTTATAGAACTGTTAATCCTAATTCTCATAGAACTAGAAACCCCTTTAGCCTTGTAATCCATATGGAACACTGATACAAAGGCTGAGATGTGCATTGAGTTCTTGATCAATCTTGAGTCTTGCAATCCGATAATGAATAGAAGACCAATTCTGTAAGGATTGGGAAAATAAACTATCTTACAGTCTTGAGTGGTTTCTTTCCGTACAGATTTTACTCAAGCTAATTTTTTGGTTTTATGAAAAGATTGTGCATATATAAAATACTTAGCAGGGCTTGATTTCTAATGCCGAATTCCCCCAACACCCTTTCTCATTTGCGTAAGTTTCACTACAATACGTGGAATAAACACTATTTTCAAAACTACAGAGAATAAACACATTGTTGTAAATTAAGCGGGAAACAACTAAATTGCCACCCATCCAAAGCTTTTGGAATTAAGTACTGTTAAACACCATAACATTTGCTTTGGTTCGGTCAGTGTCTTGCATAAGCTGCTGATTCGGAGTAGAAAGCCTGCTGAAAAACTTCACCATTGAAAAGCAAATGTAAGTTCTATGACATTTTCTATATGAAAATAACTTCAATCACCTTAACCTTTCTTTCAAAATCCACTGGGTAAACCTAGCAAAAGTCCAGGAACAGCTACAAAGGCATTTAAAAATCTCCCTTCCCCCTTTTGCCAAGGAAAGCCTTTAAAGCAGGAAAACATTTCAGGAAATAGTTATGAATATACAAAATTGGACTGCATTCTCTTGATTAAGAGCTAATTATGACTTACCATTGCCTATATAGAAGCCTGATTAGTATGGTTCACACACCCCAACCCACACGAAACCATTTCCATAGCTAAGCGATTTTCAACTTCTACAGTTTACAAATACTGTGGGGACAGGGAAACGGTATTCCAAAAGTAATTTTGTGCTTTAGTGCACACGCACAATCAAGACTGAGGTAGCACATGCTTTTAGTTTTAATCATGATGCACAAAGAATTGAATTTGTGCAATGTGAACTTAAGGAGATAAACATGTTGACTTTGATTTGTCCCCCACTATAACAAGTAATATCCCTCCCCCTTCTAAGCCAATGACACTAAATGCCATGTTCTTCCCCTTTCATGCAACCAGTGGCAACTCTTGGCATAAACTTTCAGATATACAGGTCACCAAGACATGATTAATTTCATGTTTTCCCAAATGACAAAGGCATGTAGATCCAATAACAAAATAATTGATATACCAATCATCAAACTAAAAGAGCCAAGAGGTCATCCAAAAACTATATTAGGGAATAAACTTCTTCGTTTCATCAAACATTCTTAAACTCCATTAACATGTGAACAAAATTGATATCGGGTAATCCAATCTTGAACTAGAGAACTTCAAAAAAGGGCAGAATTAAGGGTTTCTAAAACTAAATTCAAGTAAGATAGCTTAAAGTGAAGCACATATACCATCACCAAATTTTAATTGTTTATAGGGAGCAACGTTCCTCTTCACAGTACTTCAGTGCTAAGTCGTAACCCCTAGCTTCTTTTATCTCTATTTCCATTCAACCAAGAAGATGACTTTCAAGAAGGTCATTTTCGAAACGTCCAACTTAACTGAAATTGAAACTCAACTTCATTGAATTAAAATGCTAAAGATTGAAACATAGGATTGAAGTTTCCACAAAACCCAATTAGCTATGACACAACACAAGTGGAGGCTGGAGCCCATAGAATCTCATACCCATAATATTCAAAACCAAGTTTAAAATATATAAAAAACATACTGAAACTCTATTAAAATGTGAACAAAATTGACAATGGTACTCCAATGTTTAACTAGGGAACTTCCAGAAAGGGAAAAATTAAGGGTCTCTAAAACAAAACTAAATTCATGAACGATAGCTTAAAGTGCAGCACAAATACTATCACCCAAAAAAAATCTATTCAAAGGGATCAACTTTCCTCTTCACAGTAGTATTTCAGTGCTAATTTATAACCCCTACCTTCTTGTATACTAATATTGGTCCAGACACAGATGAAATTCCTCCATTAACTTATCATCTAATTAGCTAATTAGATGATGACTTTAGCAATGCGACATATAAATAATTTCCAGAACGTCCAATTTTAATTGAAATTGATATTCAACTTCACTGAATTAAGATGCTGATTATTCAAAATGAGATTTTACCTGAGAGATTAACCGCTGAAACTCGCAGGCCAGAAACCCTCGAACAGGATGCTCGCAATTTTCCCCTTCCAAGTTCTGGAGAGGAATTGATCAAAAGAAAAAAAGAACTAATAAAAAGTGAAAAACGTTTCGTTTTGAATGGGAAAAGAATATGTGACAGACAAATTGGATTTTCTTTGTTTGGGCCCATATATCTAGTCAGACTCAGTAACGAGCCCATTATTTGTTTCGTTTTGGACTTTGGGCCCAGCTTTTTGAAATACAGAACTCTCTTTCTCTCTTTGTTTATATTTTGGGACTTTTTAATACAGACCCAATTCTAGATGAGAATGTTGGGTATAACCCACATATTTGAATTGATGAATCCCGGTTCAAATTGCATTTAATACTTATTTTTCATGACTATTTTGCCTTTGAAGGTAAATAATGGAAACAAATTAAAAGTCTTTGATTTAAAGCATTGTCACTCTCAAATTTTGAATTTGAATTTTAAACATTTGCGGTCAAAAAATACTTTTTTGGTGACTAAAGCCTTTAATCACCTCAGTAAATGTCACCAAATAATAGTGACTATTGCTACTTTTTTTTTGTAGTGTGTGTTGTGATGCCAATGTCACACACTTGTCCCAATAATGTGTTAAGTTGTAATGACATATACAAGGGAGGCAATACTCAAATGGGCTATTAAGGCTCTCTTGGTTCTTAGATTCTGTGATGTCCAGCTGTGTTCAATCAAAGTAGTTAGTCTAATTCAACGATAAGATATAAGACCTTATCTAAACACCATAGATAAAGTCCTCACTATAGAATGACTCTTGTTGGCAAACACATATATGCCACCAAATCCAAGCCACACATATATGCCACCAAAGCCACGCCACACATATGGCTCAAATGTTTTGTTTTTAATTATCTTTTTCTTTGTTTTTGTTTTGACTTCAGAGTCGTTGGTAGGGTTTGATTTGAAGAAGGGTTAGAGAAATGACATTTTTTTGTGTGTCAGAAAAGTCACCATTCCGACTTAATCAAGTCCACAATTTCTAACTTTCTAGAAACCTTGTTCTACCTCTTGATTATTGCATGGACTTGGTCATTTATTTGTTTAATGACTATGTCATTACACGGTACCTAGGGGCGGCCCTGAGGGTGTGCAAGTGGTGCCACCGCATAGGGCCCCTGAATTTTTTTATGTATATAATATATGTATATATTAATAAATGTTACATATATACTGAGCGAGCAAATTTTTGACACAAAGACATTTCTATTGTGTTGGTTTGCAGGGCCTCAACTTCCATTCAGGGCGCGACTTCAAAATCCGCTTGTGTAGATAATAGTTTTAGTTCTTTTTTGGTTTTTTTGGTAACAACAAATAATAATCATAACAATTAAAAAGGCAAACACATTATTTTCTGTAAGTAATAATCATCACCAATATCTCTCCTTGGCTCTCTTTTTTAATCCTTTGAAATTTTTTTTTCAATTTCAAGGATTTCAACACAAAAAAATTGATAAATGTCACTCAAAAGCAAATAGTCATATTTAAATCTGAATTCAAATTCAAGTATGTATCTAAATTTCAATTTATATATACTAAATGACTTACTTCATTATCATGTTGATTGGTTATATAATGAAAGATTATTTAATTAGTAATTTACATACTAATTGATGATGATTTTTACTTTAAGAAAAAAAAACATTTATTGTATGCAATTACGTAATGGTGTAAGTTTGTGTTAACTTATGTGAGGCCCCAGTTTAAGGTTAGCACAGGGCCCTCAAAATCTCAAGACCGGCCCTGTGTGCACCCGAGTTCGATTCACGTAAAAGACAATCTTGAGGCAACCCAATATAATACGCCCCCATTTCCCTCCCTATCGAATGACAAAAATAAAATAAAAAAGATTAAATTGCAAAAAGAAGAATAAAAATTATAGTTGAAAATTTATTACGTACAGGACCAGTAAAATTTCTTTAAAGAACAGAGTCATTGTAAGATCCCACATCGACCAACGGAGAGGGGGTGATGTGCCTTATATGTGCACACCCGCATCCATCTAGCACGAGGCCTTTTGGGAGCTCACTGGCTTCGGAGTCATAGGAACTCCGAAGTTAAGTGAGTTGGGGGCTAGAGTAATCCTAGGATGGGTGACCCACTGGGAAGTTGGTCGTGAGCTCTCAGAAACAAAACCGTGAGGGCAGAGAGGGGGGCCCAAAGCGGACAATATCGTGCTACGGCAGAGCCGATCCGGGATGTGACAATTTGGTATCAGAGTCACTCTGCCGTGTGGTGCGAGTGTTCCGACGAGGACGTCAAGCCCCTAAGGGGGGTGGATTGTAAGATCCCACATCGACCAACGGAGAGGGGGTGATGTGCCTTATATGTGCACACCCGCATCCATCTAGTACGAGGCCTTTTGGGAGCTCACTGGCTTCGGAGTCATAGGAACTCCGAAGTTAAGCGAGTGGGGCTAGAGCAATCCCATGATGGGTGACCCACTGGGAAGTTGGTCATGAGCTCTCAGAAACAAAACCGTGAGGGCAGAGAGGGGGGCTCAAAGCGGACAATATCGTGCTACGGCGGAACCGATCCGGGATGTGACAGTCATATGCAAATGTGACCTAGCTAGCAGCAAAACCACCATAATGATAATTAGGGTCAAATTAAAATTTTGGTTTCTTTTTTTGAAACTTATTGTTTTTGTTGAAAGATAAAAACTGCTCTGCTGTCTGTCAATCACATAATGTTGCAACCACTGTTTAAAGTAGCTTGTCCAATGTCAACACCAACATTCAATATCCCAGCTACTTTCACAACCACATACTGAAATAATAAATACTTGATCACAAGGAATTAGTCATTAATTATGTAGGCAAAGGTCATGCTCCCTATTATTTAGTTAAAATTTAGCTAAAAACACACAAAAGTTATTTTAGGAACTCTATAAAATTTGAACTCCAATCATACTCCATAAGTTAGGAAGTCATAAATACTATAGTTATTTTTTAATTCAATATGATTGGTTATCATCTCTATAAAAAAAAAAAGTTTGTATTAATTAAAAGTTTAAACTAGGCATAAAACGAAACATCATTAAATTATAAGGAACCCTAAACCCTAAACCCGTAATTATAGTGTACATAGTATGAGAGTATCTCACATGGTATAACTGGTTTGTTAGAATATATAAGTGGATATTTATTGATATTATATCATAAAAGTGAGAAATATTAACCATATCGCCCATCCATATTATAACACGTGGACGAGTTACAACAGCCTTGCTACGTAGTAAAGCGTATGTACATGTGGATTTTTGGCAAGTCATTAGACACAAACAAGTTTAAACACTTAAATCAATCTCAACCACATAATTTCATTGAAATAGATCCAATGACTAAGCATCTCATTCCTCAAATGATGACACTGAATCTCTCAACTGTATGCATGGCACTATATATATATTCTTCAGCAAGTATATTCTAATTGCCCCAATAATATCTATATTCCTATGTGCAGACATTGTTTGTCACGTGTGTACGCCCCCATCATTGACGCTAGCTCTTCAATTACTCATGTAGAAATTTTTTTTTTTTCAAGTGCCCATAGTGATAAGACTTCCATATATAGGGCTCACCTCAATTAAAAATGTAGTTAGTAAAGTGGTACACGATTGTTTTTATATATGCTCAGATATTTAATTTTGCAAAAGTAATGCATCCAACTAACTCAACCAAAAAAGTTGCATCCAATTAATGATGTTCTTGGAATATTGGTACAAATAAATTAGGTGTTAAAAAGATATTTAATTTTGCAAAACATAATGCATCCAACTAACTCAACCAAAAAAGTCGCATCCAATTAATGATGTTCTTGGAATATTGATACAAAATAAATTAGGTGTTAAAAAATATTTAATATATGAATATGATCTATTACGACAAAAACTCATCGTCACAATCAGGGTGATTATTCAAAAAGTGTAACATCCCTGATACAATTTAATCGATTTAATCAAATTTAATTCTTTTGTGAAATTTCAATTTTGCCCTTCGTAGTAGGGGTACTTAGGTCACTTTAAGAAAAAAAAAACATTTATTGTATGACATTACATAATGGTGTAAGTTTGTGTTAGCTTATGTGAGGCCCCAGTTTACGGTTAGCACAGGGCCCTCAAAATCTCAAGACTGGCTCTGTGTGCACCCGAGTTCAATTCACGTAAAAGACAATCTTGAGGCAACCCAATATAATACTCCCCCATTTCCCTCCCTATCGAATGACAAAAATAAAATAAAAAAGATCAAATTGCAAAAAATAGAATAAAAATTATAGTTGAAAATTTATTACATACATGACCAGTAAAATTTCTTTAAAGAACAGAGTTATATGCAAATGTGACCTAGCTAGCAGCAAAACCACCATAATGACAATTAGGGTCAAATTAAAATTTTGGTTTGCTTTTTTGAAACTTATTGTTTTCGTTGAAAGATAAAAACTGCTCTGCTGTCTGTCAATCACATAATGTTGCAACCACTGTTTAAAGCAGCTTGTCCAATGTCAACACCAACATTCAATATCCTAGCTACTTTCACAACCACATACTGAAATAATAAATACCTTATCACAAGGAATTAGTCAGTATTTATGTAGGCAAAGGTCATGCTCCCTATTCTTTAGTTAAAATTTAGCTAAAAATACACAAAAGTTATTTAGGAACTCTATAAAATTTGAACTCCAATCATACTCCCTAAGTTAGGAAGTCATAAATACTATAATTATTTTTT